AATGAAATTAAATAAGGAATTCTTAGACAGTTATTGTGGGAAACAGAATGAAGTTTCCTCAAAAAATTAAAAATAAAACTACCATATGATCCAGCAATTCCATTACTGGGTATATACCCAAAGGAAAAGAAATCAGTAGGTCAAGGAGGTTTTTGCTCTTCCATGTTTATTGCAGTACCATCCACAATAGCCAAGGTATAGACTCAACCTAAAAGCCCATCCACAGATGAATGAAGAAAACTGTATATACATATATAGATACAGTGGAATACTATTCTGCCATAAAACAGTATGAAATCCTGTCATGTACAGCAAAACAGATGAAGCTGGAGAATGTTATGTCATGTGAAAGAAGGCAGATACAGAAAGACAAATACTGCATAATATTGTCGTATGTGGAATCTGAAGAAGCCTGTTTCACAGAAGTAGAGAGTAGAATCGTGGTTACCAGAGGCTGGGAAGAGGTTGGTTAACAAGTAAGAAGTTACATTTAGACAGGGGGAATAAGTTCTGGTGTTTCTGTTACACAAACTATAGCAAACAAAGATATAGTTGAAGATACAAGAAAATTTTGAATGCTATCACTACAAAGCAATGATAAATGTTTAAAGTGATAGAAGGTAATTATCCTGTTTTGAACATTATAAAATGTACACATGCATTAAGACATCACATAAATATGTACAATTACCATATGTTGATTTTAAATTTTAATTTTAAAATAAAAAATAAATTAACCTAATGTTTGACACTCTCCAACAACTACTCCATAGCTCTCCGATACCAATGATGTTATTTTCTGGCCATAGACCCATCTAGACCTGCTATTTGCACATGCTGAGCATTTGCACCCACTTGTCTTTGATAAGAAATGTTTCCATTATTCTCTCTCAGTCTGTCCTTCTTTGTCTTCCACACTCACTATGCAGCTTTCCTTCTCTGAGAAATCTTCCATACTTGACCCTATCTGGCCCTGCAAACCAGTCTCCCTGATGAGCTCTCATATTTTCTTTAATACGTTATGCTCATGGCATCAATTTATATTCATTGAGAGATGTAGGAAAAAATATATATTTCAGACAATCAGCTATGTGCATTCTGTCTCCATAATGAATTCATAAATTATCTTAAAGCAGAGTATCATATTTCATAAAATGACAGGGCTAAAATGCATCTAAAAGATTGACTATTTGTTTTACTAGTGAGGTAACAATACTAAAGCTTATAAGTTACTTACCAATAAGTAACTTATGATTGAGTATGCTCATTTACATGTCTAATTAGGAGCAAAAGTGGGACTAGAATTCCCACTCTTCTACTGGTACTCCTGGAACAAGCCACTTATAATTTTCTAATTTATTCTGTCTTCCAGTATGTAGGAAATACCCCTTGTATAAATCAGGTAGTTTTAAATGAAGCATGAAGAAGCATCATTAGGAGATACTGCCCAAAGGAGAGAACATTGAGATTATTGGGCTAGGGCAAAGAGCACAGATCTTTTGTGGGTTGATCCCATGGAGTGAAGAGCAGGCTAGATCATAGGCACGTAAGTGGGCTTAGAGACAAGGCTCCTATCATGGCAGAGTGGCTGAAGTGCAATCAAGAAATCTGAAGCAGCTGAAGCTTAACCACAATGACTGAGCATGTGCATTAAGGTTGTGAGGGAAGAGGAAGAAAGATGGCTGCTCAGGGAACACACAGGTTACCAGAAATGAAACAGCAAGGTTAATTTCCAGATCCCACTCACTGACCCAATCAACAGACTATATCACTTATTTTATCCCATCAGTCTTGAGCAAGATAGGCTCAATCTAGATAGAATGAACCTAAAGTTTAAATATATTCAATTAAGTAGTTTAAGGGAACTAAGTAAGACAAGGTTAATACTAAGCTCTGCCCAGAGTTTGCACTTATTGTATAAGATGATACATAGATGGATAGACAAGAGTGTTGAGCTTGACTCTGCCCTCCTCTTCTTCACATTATCAACTTTACAGAAGGTCACTAAATTCTGTTATGTCCCTATTATATCCCTCAACAGGACATAGAGCAACATGAAAATCCACGTAGGACTTGGCTTACAATTGAATGGTTGATTTTCTGCTAAAATGACAATAGCTTCTGGTCAGTTTTCATCTAGAGTAAAATTGTTTAGATTTTACATAAAATATTTTCTGAAATACCTGTGCCTACTAACTGCTCTGTCCCAGCTGCACATTTTGCTAGATATCACTTCCTAAAAGGCATTTTATTTCAGAATTGCTTAATGCTAAATCAAGCAGCTAGTATTTTTGTTGTGACATGGAAGTGATGAGTTCCTCAAGTGTCTTGCCCGACTGACAGCTGTCAACTAGAAATGGATGCACAGAATGAACAATTTGGCAGTGTGCATATTAGCCTTTAGATTGCGCTTAATATTTTTAATGTATGGTTGGTTTACTATTACCTGAATATCTCTACATGATGAAGCTCTTATTGAGGTTCTACCAGCCTCTTGCCCTGGGACTTTCCCAGATCTGCAATCAAAAAAACACATAATAAAATGGGTTCTTCTACTGTTGAAAATTGTGATTGTGAATAGGTTCAGAAACATGGACAGAAGCCTTCAAGTTGAATTACCCAGTTTTAATACATGATGCTGGAAAAAGTTGTGGTTTATTTCTGTCATGGTAGGATGGAAAAGTCACAGATTCTTGCGAATCTGTATAGTGCAGGCAGGTTAACAATGTTTGTTTGGCTTGACTCACTAGGTTGGTTTGTTAATAGGTTGGTTGGTCAAATAGATGGTTTTGTTATTATTCAGAGAGCCTCAATAAGGTTTTAAGAAGAGATTCAAAGATAAGAAAGGGTGTCAGCCTCTATTAGCCTATGTCTAGGGTAGAAACCCCTGACATGCTCAGCCAAGTGGTGGCATTGACATCACAAATTCTGTTGGGCCCAGAATGCAAGTTTATAATTGAACAATGTGGGCAGGAAGAAAAGGCTAAGAACATACACTGTCTCTTCAATTTTAAAACTCTTCCATATGTGTGTCTTCAAACTGCAAAACAAGAGAATGAGAAAATGCACTTTAATTCAAATTTTAAGTAAGAGAAATTCTATTTCACTTACCTGGTTAAAAATAATAATAATAATAATAATAATAATATCTAAACATTACTTAGGAGAGTCTTTTGCTACAATGCAGTGGATCTCAACCAGGGGCAATTTTGCCCTTCAGGAACATTTGCCAATGTCTGGAGCCACCTTTAATTATCATAACTGGAGAGTGCTACAGGCATCTGATGGGTGGAGGCCACCACGGCTGCTAAACACTCTACACTGTAAAGGACAGTCTCTCACACTAAGGAATTCTCCAGCCCATTGTACAAACAGTACCTGCCACAATGTATGGCCAGGGTATGCTATATTCACTTTTGGGTTTTGCCACCAAAATACCTCTATAAAAGTAATAGGCCAGATTCACTGCCTTTGCCTAAAATAAGACAGAAGTGACATCCTGAGAAAACAAATATTGAAAATTATTCCTTCAGATAAATATCTATTGTAGTAAAACCTAATAGATTCTTAATAAAATGAGAGATGATTTTGAAATTTTGCCCTGATAATTTGAGAAGATTAAAACTGCATTGTTAACGAGTACTTCCTGGCTACTGGCCCACTAATTGCATGTATCTGTAACATACGCTCAGGCAAAATTTTCGAAGTTTGCAAAATAACATCAGAATGATCTTGAAGACCTCTGTATCAACAGCTTACATTTTACTGACAATTTCCAAAGCAAGTTTTTCAATTTCACTACTAAGAAACTTCTTATGGGTCCCCCATCTGATACTGCCTTTGTCATGTTCTACAGCATCCTTCAAAACAAATAATATTTCTAAATAAAAAAAAAAATCCGTGAACCACCCATATGATAGTCTTCAAATATTTCAAATATTATTAAAAATAGTGAACATTTCATAGGACTAAACTGAGTTAACCATAAGCATGTTCATCAAAAGAACAGTGTCTTCACTAAATAAATCTACTACTAAATGAGTAAGGACTTGTGAAGATTTCTATATTAAAATTCTTTTCCATGAAATTATATTTATGGGGTGAGGACACAGTATTAGTATAATCTTTTAGCCCCTATTTTAAAATAGGCTTATTACATTGAGGTCAATGACATACAGATACGTAATTCAAACAGATTCTACTTGTGTATCTACTAATAGGGAGCATTAACCTCAAAAATAAATTCCTCATGTCAAAGGGCTACTACCCATTTGTTCCAGAAATTCATTAGCAAGTTGCAAAATAAGAATGACAGCCTGGTTAAAAGAAAATGCAGTTTACAAAAATGTTCATTGCATTTTCATACCTTTTCTCCCTGCTGGTATGAATGACTATCATTTAGTAATCACCTGTGTTGTGCTAGGACCTACACCACACACTCACTATGCCCTGTGCTGGTCATCACAACTACATTGTTGCATGGATATTCTGTTCCAGAAAGCCAAGCCTCGGCACAAGGGACCTACAAATCAAGCCCAGGACAGCTTTGCTTCAGGACAGGCAGTGACACTCAGGGTCTCCATTGTAGCAAAATTCACAAGTTCAAAAGGATTTTAAATAGTTTTATTCTTTTGAATTCTTCTTTCAACAATATACCATTGTTCGACTTCCCAAACTCAAACAGTTTGTAAATTATTGCTGTAGTTACACTTTAATGCCTGCCCCATAGTTAATTCCACAAAGGCATTTTGCCCTGTGTAATTCTGTTCTTTTCCTAGTCCTATGTCATAAGGGGAAAGAATATGTTTTTGCTTATGAGATATCTCTAGCTCAATTTCTTTCTAGTAGTGTATCTTCGATCAATTCAGACATTTCTCAGTAATCGTGTACACCCTCATTTGTAGATTGTCGCAGAACATAAAAACAAGATCTTTAGCGAACAAGAACAGCCTGTGTGTTCTCTGAAACTTTTTCTTGCCACTCAGCTTTGTCTGTGTGTGTGTGTGCGTGCATGCGTGTGTGTGTGTGTGTGTGTGTGTGTAAAGAAGGAGATTAGGACATTTAGAGAAGGAGGGTGGGGAGAAGAGATCCCGAGAATAGAAAAGAGGAAAGAAAAAAAGAGGGAATGGAAAGAGAGAGAGAAAGGAAATGGGAGTGGAAGGAGGGAGGACTGCTTTGTAGCTTCTAAGATTGCAGACAGAAATAGCACACAACCGCCGTGAGCCGTGTGTGATTCAGAAATCAAGACCGAATTTTGTTCACTTTTATTAATCAGTTGCTAAAAGAAAGGAAATGGCATCTGGTCCCGTCTTCTTCTACATCTTAATTATTGGAAAATATTGTAAGTATGCACAGTATCTAATTTTGTATGCCTTAGAATTTTATGGAATAACCACAGCACGAATGTTTATTCCTTATATTTCTGCTTTTAAGATAAAATGCATTTACTGATAAAATTGTAATCTCACTTCAGAATTGTTCTTCTTAGTATATATTCGGTATTTGTATTAAAAACTGTAACATCTTGTCATAGTCAATAGTGAAGCAAGACTAACATGCCATGTAAACCTAGGCTTCATATCAACCAATTCATACAATTGATATAATAAGCAGCATTATAGTATTTAAAGAGTGGTAATTGTTAAAGAAACTGTGTTCAAGGAATATGTTCATTGAAATAACCTAGGAAAGCCTTCACATTTGTGCCAGTTTCTGTGTCATTGTAACGCTTTGTCGCCCTTATCCTTGGTGATTTGCTATCAGAGGTGTGCTTCTGAGCAGAGATGCATTCATAAAACTCTTTTTATTTAGGAAAGTTTACTACCGTTCCCTGAAAAGAAAAAAAAAAAGCAAGGGAAAGCACAAAGCAATGAAAAACACAGGCACACAAGAAGCTCCAATGGACATGTTATTTTTACCATAATGACACATTTTGTTTTCTGTATGTGTGCTATGGTTTATTTTTCAGAAAATCTTTTTTAAATTCAAGAGAAAGAGTTGTTGTATATTAAGCTCCATTTGAATTACACTATGTAGATAGAAATAAAATGTTTTTGTTTCTTAGGTAATAAATGATGAAAAATCAAAGCCAAACCAAGAATAAAACTTTCTGTGTATCTTTAACACTTTACGATTCCAGGAATGTGGCTTTCACTAACTTAGAACTTAACAAGCCTTTTAATTGTTCCTCTGTCTCTAAAAGTTTGCCTAAGTTTTGTAAACTCTGAGCTTTTCTATTAAGAAATGTCTCAGGGTAATTTTCAATCCTAACTCTCCCAATTCTGATGTACTAAAGTGATTATATTTTCCTCTTTCTCCTTCTTTCCTCCTTTCCTCCACTCCATCTCATCCAAATGAGATGATTTAAAGTTAGAGGATGGCCTCAAAACCAGAGAAACTATTCAGAATCCCGGGGAAATATTCTAGTCCTAGCTTTCTTCAGCTCTAATCTTGATTTTTTAACTGAAGGGAAAACAATAAGTTGCAAACCATCACCAAAAATGTAACGTTTCCAATTATAATTCCGTGTTCAAACTACCAGAGCTTTTGACATTTGTGGTCAACAGCTTCAAAAATTAATAACACATTTTACTATTCCCTATTCCATTTCAATGAAATGAGCAGATTAAATAAGCCAAAGGAATACTTCCAAAATAGTCATTCTAGTATGAAGAATGCAAGGGCATGTAAAAGGTGTTTAGGGCAGTTTGGGAAGCAACTTTGGCCACTGTGTTACCAGTCATTTCAGGTTAGGAAAAAATTCCATGTTTACATGTACCCTTTTGTTAACAAATTATTTTCATGGACAGGAAATAATGATGGTGGTGATGACGATGCCAAAACCCTGTCTCTTTAAGTTTTAACTTCTCTCTTGATTAAAAAGAAAATTTGAGAGTATAGTGTAAGTTGAGAGCTGCAAGTTCTCATCCTTTCATGCCTTCCCCAGGAAATGAGGCCATAAACATTTGTTGCAAAGTTTGGCAAGCCAATTCCTGGCTACATAGTGTTAACTGCATGTCAGGGTAGGGGAACACTTGGCAGGGACCCACTGAAAGAGCACCCACCATGGCTCACCTTGAGTGTAGCCCGTCACCCAGGCCCCACCTAAGTGAGAGTTTCCTGGACACATACCAAAGAGAATCCACAGCCATGCATAAGGACAAATTCTGAAACCTCTGTAACCCCCCTATGGTTGTTGTTTATTTGTGTGTTTGCTTTGTTATCTTTTGCTCTTATATCCACTTTCCTGTTATGGGAAAGGCGATGTGATATCATGGAAGACACCTAACCTAAGATGCTTAGCTGCACCACCATGCACCGGTTCTATGGTTTTCATAAATGACTTACCTCCTCTGAGTCTTAATGTGTGAAATGGCAATCAAATCCTTTACCCTATCTGCCTCTCAGACCCCCTGTGTTCAGTCCTTTATTACAAAAATTACCCCCTGAATCTTCACAACAACTCTGCTATGTGGATACAATTAAGCACATGAGGCAGGACATTCAGCGCCTTGTCACAAGACTCAAGCTAATAAATGCCAAAATTTTAATGGTTTCAAAGCCCATGCTCTCTCCCCTCATCCATACTAATTCTCAGCAGCAAAAATGTGTATAATAGGCTTTGAAAACTATAAAGCCTGTTACAGACGTAAGCAACTGTTAGTCATCGTTTGAACCAAAAATACCTATGAATGTCAGAGCAGGGACCATGTCTTATTCACCTATCTTATTAAAGAAAGCATGGGCCCTGCTCTGAAGGGATAGAATGGAGAAGACAACAAGTTGATCTAGAATTCAATGAGACCAGTGCAAAGACATGGTCCCTGCTCTGAAGGGATAGAATGAAGAAGACAGCAAGTTGATCTCATTCAATTCAATGAGACAAGTGCAAAAATTGAGGTCCACACAAACAGAGGTGACATGAATACTTAGAAGATATTTCCTTTTAGCCTTGAGAATTTTTCATTCTTTGAAAATCCTTCTGTACATAGTCTAATTAATTGTATTGTGCCAATGTTAATTTCTTGTTTTATAATGTACCATGATTATGTAAAATGAAGGAAAGCTGGGTGAAAGGTATATGGGACCTCTCTATACTACTTTTTTTCAACTTCTTATAAGTACATAATTATTTCAAAATTCATAGTTAAAAAATCCCCAGGACAACTTGAATTATAAGTTCTTATCAGAAAATGCTTTATTATTACTTAAATGATATTACTAAGCAAAGCAATTCTTTTACTTAATATTTTAGATACGCAGGGAACAAGTGAAGACATAGGAAATAGAAGGTGTTCAAACATAAGCTTGATCCACTTTAGTATTTTTCCAAGGACTGGCCCAGCTAGTAAGGTCCTCACTTTCAGACTCCTAGAGACACTTACCAGACTACCAGACTAGCTGGCCTTTGCTTTAGACCCCAGCACTGACCTAAGTTTTAGCAATTTTCTTCTGTAGCTATGAAGGAGGGAAAAGGAAGAGACAATTCCAGAACAGATCATTAGCTTGGTTAGTACATGGAAAAAGAGAATGCTGGCATATTTATCCAATTCCAAAAGATGGGAGAATAAATATACCAATATGCAGACTGCGGAAGTATATTGTGTTCCATCTTGTCCTTGGTCGGGAGTTGGGGTTTTTTAGTCTGTATAAATTTATGGGGCATGAGTGCAATTTTGTTACATTGCACAGTGGTCAAGTCAGGACTCTTAGGTATCCATCACCGGAGTTACATGCATGGTACCAATTAAATAACTTCTCACCACTTTATACTTCTGGAGGCTGCTGACAAGTTTGTATTGTTTTTACTATGTATTTTGAATCATATTGTTTCAAATGGAAAGAAATGAATCTGTCCAAATGCACCCTGATCTACAAAAAGGGAAATTATTATGTTTGTAAACTAGTCCTTCAAGCACAATTTCACACATCAGTACGAACTTGTTAAACTAAAATGCCTGGAGTTGAGTATTCTGGTTAGGTTTAACTTTTTATCTGAAAAACTGTAAGCATTTAGACCATTTGATTCCAATCTTTACACTTGTGGGTGTGGTTGTTTTTCTATTTCGCATTTATCGAGAGGTCTCCATGGGCCAGGAACAATGCAAGTGCTTTACAATCATGATCTTGTTTTATTCCTATAATAACTCTATGAGATAGTCTTGCTTTATAAAATAGGAAACGGAAAATGAGAAATGTCTGGTAGCATTCCTGGCAGCACTTCCTAGTAAGTGTTGCAAAAGAGACTTGAATCCAAGTGTGTCTTCTTGAAAAGCCTGTGCTACTAAACATGATTCAATTCTGACACTTTCTTAAATTATAATATCGTGCAATTTAAAGTGGCCTTAACAGACCCCTGATCTAGCTCACTGACCTTCAAGCAAGTTAGATCTTTCTGTATTTTAGATATTAGAAAATAAAGACATATTGACCAGCCCAAAGTCTCAAAGCTGGTAAATCCAGGGCTTCCTCCACCTAGGGTGAGGGCCTCCCCACCCAAGGCAAGTTCAGCAAATCCATGCTAGGAGTTTATGTATCTCCTCTTACGAGCCGGCGCTATCTGCTTTGTATACATTCCTCAGATACACCAGCAACTGATGAATTAGAATACACATGCAAATAATTTGAATATATAGAACACTTTTGTTTGCAACACATGTCACTTAGCTATATATATAGCAAGTGCCAATAAATATTGACTTAATTCCTATATTAGCTCACCTCTCCCTTCTCCTGGACATTTTATTAGCCCTACCACCCAACAGCTCTACTTCCTGCCTATGTGTAGTGATCCAATACACTCGCAACTTTCAAAATTCTACGGCTTCATCTATTTCTCTGATCAGAACAACAAGGACCCAACACTAAACCAAAAGCTCTTTCCTTCTTTAGAGATAAGCAGGTGCAAGTTGTGAATATTTCAAATTTAGGTTTTGTTCCCTTTCACAATAAAAATAAATGTCAACTGGAAAAGGGACAGTGTGAAGGGAGATGTCGTGTTATTCATGTCAGAAATAGGTATTTTCCTACTAAATAACTGTATTTTATAGTGATCTGGATATTATTTGATTTGTTGTTAAATAGATTCATTTTATAATTATTTCAATACTACCTGAACTAACTGGGTCTCCTTATTTCTTCAATCTTTTATACCAATAAATACACCATTTGGAAATCATCAATATTTTCAAAAGATGCCTGAGAATTAACCTTTGGGAATGGTACTCTTGGGACTTCCACCGGCTGGTCTAGGCCACCTGGAGCCCTTGCCTCTGGCCATTGTACCAGTGACTCCACCTCTCTCTCCCCATCATTCTTCCTCAACTCCTCCTCCCATATTGC